TTTCAATCACCTGGTGAATGTTGCAGAGAAGAAGAGCCAGATAGCTGTGTGTCTCGGGAGCAAAAGGATTCTCTAGGAGGGAGGGAGGGAAGGAGTTGGAGATCTGGCCGAGGCTGAATGTACCCTGCAGAGGGATGTACCTCACCTGTTTTTTAAAGGGGTTTAGAGCTCAGTTTGCCTTGGGATAAAGCCAAGCTCTTGTCTCATAGGAAACAGTTCAACTCAAAGAAAAAGATCTGAAGTGCTGTTCACAGCTGATGTGCAGTGCAGAGGAACAGTACCAGCACCTGCTAACTTTCTACTGTCATCTCTGGGAGAAGACACATTTTAAGAGGGTATTTATGGCCCTATAGAAATTGACCCTGAAGGCGACTTCTAGGCAGTACTAGAATCTAAACAATATCAACACTATCTTTTCTTACCATGGTATCAGTATATTCTTCCAGCTTTTCTTCAGCAACCACCCTGTTATGCTGCAAAAACAGATCTCGCAGGAAATCCTGTAGCAAGGAAAGAAACAAATTTTACTCTTTAGAGTAAATTCAAGAAATAACAGTAAGAAATTCAATCCAAACTTAGCAGGCTTCCATAATTTCACATTCCTGGTTAGTACACTAGTGTCTTCAGTTTCATATAAAGATTGTTGTTGCGTTGTTTTGTTTTTTTTTTTTTTTTTTAATTGATGCATATTTTTTCAAATAAATTAGAAAACAACCAAATCACCCTAGAACAGGCATACTGCAGTGAGTCGTAACTCACAAAATAAGCAAAATGTAAATAAGCAAAACATAACATAAGTCCTGCAATATCTGATCTAAATAAATGATCTAAAATTTAAGTATTTGCCATTCAGCAAAAGACTTGAGCATCCTCTTGTGTCCTCGTTGGGGCACAGGCTGGAACCACACACTGAGATGTCAGTGCAGAGCCTGCAGCCCAGGGATGGACTTCTGTGCCTGGCTGGCTCAAACCATTTTGAGTTATGGTTTCTAAACAAGCTTGTGCCTCAAGAGCCTGAGCTTTAAAAATAAATCAGTGTTCAGAAAATGTGCAGGCTCAGGAAGAGATTGTGAAGAAATCCCACCGATAAAACACAAAGGCTTTGGGTCTAACTGGGACAGGCACATGTAGAAAGCCAAGGTGAGGCAGCACTCTGGGGGCTCCCTGGGTGCTTGGGGGTCACCAAGACAAGTGGGATCATGGCACGAGACAAGGTGTAAGCAGGACAGCAAGGGCAACAGAGGAACATCCTCCATCCCAGCAGGGTCCCTGTAGCCAAGCTAGGTGATTGGAAGGTCCCAAGTCCTTAAACTTGATGTGAGCAACCAAGAAATGCCATTCATCAACCAGACAAAAAGGCACCAAATTGGTAAAGCTGATGGAAGGGCTCCCATTGACACCAATGAGCTGCAGATCAAGCCCAGAAAGACTTGTTAAATAACTTACTTTGAGCTCGCCAGCTGAAATGAATCCACTGCTATCAGCGTCGTAACTGCGCCAGATCTGCACGGGGACAGATTGACATGACCACATAAATATTGCAGTTAATCATCTGCTCGGGTAGCAGATCATAAAGATTCAAATCAGCACTTCCATAATAAGCAAGCTGTTGCATTATCCAATATTTAATTAATTGTAGATGAAATAAAATAAACTCTCCACAGGACAGCGTTTACTCTCGCTTGGATACTGCACATGTGACAAGCTGCTATCACATATTTAATGTGGACACACCGTCTATAAAAGGAAGAAAAGATTAAGAAACTGCCCTGCATTTCTTACCTAATTTGTACATGCAGCTTCTTTTAGTGCCCTGAGTAAAAGTCAAAGCCATACACAACTGGCCATTGATCCGCAGCAGCCCACAGTCTGGGTGTGAAATAAAAGTACCTGCAAGCAGTCTTGGAAAAACTGAAATTTTTGGAAAAATCGAAATCCTGTGTTTGGATACTTAGGGGCAGAGAATGGAGGGAGATTGGGCAAGGTTAAAAAAAACTTACAGGCTTGGGCTCCTCAGCTGTCCCAACTTACAGGGATTTTCACTCCACACCCTGTCAGAATAATGCTTCAGGATGAGATGGTGCTTAAAACGTGCCTAGTCTGCCCCCTTGGTCTATGCTGTGCTGCAGGTGTGGAGTTCCAGCTGGGGCTGTAGCTCCCAACAGGGCTGAATTTGCCAGTGAGTAGGTACTACCATAAGTGAGTAGGTACTACCATAAGTAAGTAGGTACTAAAAAAAAACCCAAACACTGGTGGCGTGACTGATAGGTGGCTGAGGGTGTTTACAAAGCTTAATGTCACTGCCCTTGGTCCAGTCCTAGCTCTCACCACCTTTGCTGCTGTAAATAATGTACAACCTTCTCCACCTGAACAGGTCAGAATGTGTTTTACCTCTGCCGTACCCATGGATTTCCCATGCTGTGTTCTGTGGAGGGTGGAGGTGTATGTGTTGGAGCAGCTGCTGGTGTGCAAGGGAAGAGGCAATGCAGAGATACAGACCCGCATGAATTCCACACTGTTGTCCAGGGGGGTTTCCCGTCGGAAAAGCAGCAGAAAGTTCTCATCATCTGGCAGGAGCATACTCGCAAGCTGGGGGGAAAAAAAAAAAAAAAAAAAAACCCAAACACACCAACACATAAAAAACCCCAAACTCAACCCAAATCATGAAAGTAAAGAAAAGATAAAACGTGGGTAGCTGCAGATCCAGTATGAGAATTATAAGCTGGGCATGTTGTTGCCTTGGAAGTATATCCCAGACCAAGGGATCTGGCTCACGTAGCACTCCATGACTCACACCCTCCCCACCCAGGCTCTATCTTCCATACCTCCTAACTCTGCTACAGGCCCTAATCACAGAATCATGGAATGATTTGAGTTGGAAGGGACCTTTACAGTTCATCTAGTCCAACCCCCCTACAATGAGCAGGGACATCTCCAACTAGATCAAGCTGCTGAAAGCCCCATCCAACCTGATCTAGCGTGCACCTACCACATCTCTGGGCAAACTACTCCAGAGTTTCACCACCCTCACTGTAAAAAATGTCTTTCCTTTCTCCAGTCTGAATCTACTCTCCTTTAGTTTAAAGCTATTACTCTTCATCCTATCACTACAGGCCCTACTAGAAAGTCTGTCCTAATTCTCCGTTCTTCTAGAAAAGAAATCTTGGGCTTGGGATACCTCTTGGATTTGCAAGCGTCCATCTCTGGTAACATTGTAGGCAGACATTAATTGCTTCTTCATCCTCTGAACTTTTTCTTCTGTGATGGCGTTCTGCCATGGGAAAAACAGCACAAGCATGAAAATTGCTGAGGGTGCTAGAAGAGCG